GGTGGAAAATTCCAGAAAAGTATAGCCTTTTTTGGTGAGTGATGTTGTAATCAAATTGAAGCGATAAAATGGGGAGTTTGTGGTGCAGGGGACAAGGGGGGGGGCCTGCTTCTCAGGGAAGCATTGGGGCTCCCTAACCTTGCGCCAAACCTAGGCGGGAGCGCCTCCTCTCCAGGGGCGGTGGGTGGCCCGGGGGACATCAGCCTTACGTTGAGAATCTAGATAAAGGTAGAGGCCGGTTTCAGCCAAAGCAATAGAGCTCTCGACTTGGTAAAATATGTCAGATTATTACTGTTATTATTACAGTTTTTGTAACTAATAACAAAAGGAGAGATGAACATAACGGTTGTCATTAGATGATATTTGGGGCGTGTATTAGATGTAGTGGCTTCGTTAGAAGGTTATGTTGGCACTAAAGACTCTCCTGCTTCCTCTTTTCTCTTAGAAGCGCATCTTCCTTTATTTCCAGTTTTTGATGGCATTTACATAGGTCAGAGTTTAAGGAGAAATGCTGTCAACGCTGTTAGTTCAATATAGACCTTTGGTATGTGGGGTCAGTGTGCTATAACTCCGGGAAAGGAAGCACAGTGGCTACCATTCTTCTGAAACCCAAACTCCTTTGGCAAAGGAGACGTGTTTTAATTAACATTCTCATTTAAATCTGGTTATTTTTATGAGAAGTTTGGTTCTGAAAAGCAAACAGTAGCAAGAAAGTCAAGGAGCTTCTAAGGAGAGTTATTTTGCAAAGGCGCAAGACTGAAATATACACTTGGGCCAATGGGGATAGAGAGGTTGAAGGCATGGGGGAGAGTTCATTTTATGGGTTGATGAGGACCACATTGATACTGAGAAGAGGGCTACCTTTACACATTTTTTATATGCCAAAATTTACCTCCTTTATTTTTCATAACATCCCTAATGTAGAGGAGGAAAATCTTTCCTTCTGCTCTTAGGTTCGTTGGGTGGGGCCTGCGAATTAAACTGACAAAAGACAGATTAATAGGAGAAAAGGTTTATTTTACATGCACATGGGCTTCACAGAGAAGAAGTGAAAACCCACAGAAGCACTTAGGCTTGAGATTTTTAAATATCATTTTAACAAAAGGCAGTAAATTGTGGAGAGGTCACAAGACAAAGGAAAAGGGGTTTGGGCTTCTAGAGGTGGTAAATTGTACAAAAGTAAATATATGGGGGAAACTAATGGAAGATTAGTTTAATGTTATTAAAATGTTATTTTAATAACATTTGTTTGTGCAGACTCATCTCGGTGCCATCTTTACATCTCCGGTGACAAGGGTTGTTCTCCTTGTGGTGTAAGAGAGAGGAGAGGGACGCCTTTACAAAGGGAAATTTATGCTCTGCTTCTCTGCAGAAAGGGGGAGGGCAGAGAGAATTCCTCCTGTGTCTGCTGTTTCTCAATTGCCTTCAGCTCAAAATAGTCCTGTGCCTGAGTAGCATATTTTGGGGTGACATGTTCTGATCCTGCTCATTATGAACCAGGTAAATGGCAGTGCCCCCATTATACAGATAAGGAAAGTCCATCAAGCATCCTAAGGACTCATAGCTTCTGAGGGAGGGAACTGGGATTTTATCCCAGACCTGTGCACCCGCAAAGCTTATTGCCTGTCTGCTCTAAGACACTGTGTAGAAGTGTGTTCTCAACAAACATTCACAAACTCCAAGAAACCCAATGCGGCGTTGCTCTAAGGTGAATCTCCGCCTTGAGCTGCTCAAACCATCTAACACCTGTTTATGGGGAATAGAATTCCTTGACTTCACACCCAATATCCTCTTAGTTCATGGGGCAAGGTCCATGCTACCCTTTCTGATCAAGGGCATTATGACCTGAATTTCTGATGTTTTGCAAGGTACAGTAATTCATTCTAACCCTGGATAGTAATAACTGCTGTCAGCTTAGTTATTTTCATGGAAGTAACTATAATGCACTAAAATGTCATGTACACAAAGATTATTCAGCTCACAATTCCAGACTTGTATAGAGAGCTTGTTGAATGCAGAGACGAATGATGTGGCATAGGGAAAATTCTTCAATATCGGATGCCTTTTATAATTTAATTGCTGCCTGTTCCCAGACTGAATTGAACTCTGGAAGGCATTTTCTTTTCACAGTCACAGAATGCATTTCGATATGCAGCAAATAATGTGTGTAGCTCTGGGGTTTCCTCGGCGAAGCAGAATGAAAAGAATCAGTGGAAATTTTACTGTCTGTTGATAAACACTTGGTGTGGTATTTCAGCCAGTTCTAATTGGATTTATTTTTAAACTCGGTTTCTGTAAATTGTACTGACAGTAAACAAGAAGATCAGATGATTATTCTAATACGGAATCCATAAACACACCAAAACCGCTCATACTGCCTTGTCATGGCCCTTTAGAGCCTTGGCAGAACCATGTTCTCTTGATGGAGAGTTACGGGTCCCTCAGAAAATAGCAGAGTGCTCTCCAGCTGAAGAAGAGACAGTTGCCATGCTGACTGCGTAGTATACAAGATTTTATTTATTTACTTTTTAGAACGGTTTTTCTTTTTGGAGGAAGATTGCCTCTGCGCTAACATCTGTTGCCAGTCTTCCTCTTTTTGCTTTTTGCTCCCCCAACCCCCAGTACATACATAATTGTGTATCATGGCTGTAGAGTTGCAGCTGTTCTATATGGGACGCCTCCTCAGCATGGCTTGATGAGCAGTGAGTAGGTCCGCGTCCAGGATCCGAACCGGCAAACCCCAGGCCGCCGAAGCAGAACGCACGAACTTAACCACTACGCCACTGGGCCGGCCCCTAAAGTATTTTAAGATGGACTTCTCGGTTATAATATGAGAAAGCTTTGTTGTTTTTCAGAACTAAATCGGGTACAAACCACACCAGTTACATTCTGGGACACATCAGATACATGAAAACTATGACATGAAAATGCCTGCTTTCGCCTCCTTTCCTCCCATTGATCCTGCACTGGTCTCCACCAAAAAGTCGTAGATGCTTTGGCATTGATGCCAGTGTCCCAACTCAATAAGATATTTTTCTCACTCTCTCAGTGGTGTTTTGCTCTGAACCGTGAAAGGTGAGCTCAGTGCCTGGCTCGTTCCTCTTCTGGACCGGGAGAGACTTCAGGATCTCCAGGCCGTGTGTCCTGTTCCTGTCTGTAGGCTCCCGGGGCCTGGCACACGGCAGATCCTCAGCAAATGGGCGTTTCATGGAACTAACCCCATAGGTCTCGGTGTTCCTAAGTATGCTGTGTTGCATCTGCACATTCCTTAAGCTCTCTACCAAAATAACAGCAGTTCAGGAACATGCCAGAACTCATAAATGCTCATCGTTAATGATGATTTGCTTATGGAAAGGAAAGTACCCCAAGGAATCTAAATTCCTTGTTCTTTTCATTGGAGAGGGGCATGGAGCTTAACAGGACACTGTTATCTCCCCAGAGCATGTGGTTGTGGACTTAGAAGGGAAACGTCTGGGGCCTGCTCGGTGGCGCAGCAGTTAAGTGCTCGCGCTCCGCTGCGGCGGCCCGGGGTCCACAAGTTCGGATCCCAGGCATGCACCAGT